CCAGAGTATCTGAAAGTCCTTTTCCCTAGCGTTAACTTGGGTTTCGGCAAGTGCATGTCGTTCCTTTTCCTCGTGTTGTATTTTCTTTTTTCTTCAAGGCTTTGATAACCGACATTGTTGGTCAAATAAGTTCAGCCGATGACTTAACAAACTTGGCAAACAAGATATTCCAAGAACAAGACTCGAATCTAAACGAACAAATTACGAAAGACCTGAAAGTCATGACGACTCGTTGGAATTCACTTTGTGAAAGCGTCATCAACAACAGTAACAGGTAACAAGTCAATTCAGGTGATTTCTCAGAAATAAAAATTGACGAACGAATTTTTAGAAATTTTCCCTGTATGTTCCCTACTAAGCACTTTTTTCAAAAAACTCAGTAAGAAAGCTAAGTCCCTATGCTCGCAAGAGATATGATAGGCCAATCTTACTTACGTTAACGCGTTTTCAGCGCTTTGTTTTCCTTCCGAATTTTTTTTTCAATTTTGTAACTTTAATGTAATAAAAAAAATAGGTCACCATGCCCGATTAAGAAGAAACTAGCATGTTGTGTGTGTTCAAGTGCTCGTGTGCGCGCTAATAACTCAAAAATCGTGCACAGAAGGAATGCGCAATGCAATTATGAGAAATCACCTTAAAATAAGGGTCTGAATTGTATGTTTGAAACCAGTTGTACATTTAGGACAGGTGCGAGTGAAATATAAGGGGTAACAGGGGATATGAATAAGGTCTTAAGATGTGTAGAAGCTATGCCATACGTCCGTATGAAAGGTAAATTCTGCGTAGGGCTATTGTTCCGAGACTGAAACCACTCAATCATTTTCAGTCTGGAAAAATTGGGCCTGGAAGTGGATCGGGAATACAAGAATCTGAATAAATGGTATGAGAAAGCTGACACTTTCAATACCTGGATTTATTTTAATGAAAAGACCATAGATGAAGAAAGCTCTGGAAGCAGCACCACTAACATTCCTGTTGTCAAGGAACAGATGGAAAAAAATCAGGTATTCTATGTAATATGTGGTAATTTGTTCAAAGGAGCAGCGGAATATCACAGGAAACTGTAATTAAATTTCACGAATGCACATTATTTTAACCTCCGACTGCTATTTTTTTTTCTTTGGGCTGATTTTGTCCCTAAATCAGGATCTCATCAAGAAAGTTCAAAGCCAGAAACCGAATTTGGAAGAAATTAATCGTGAAGCAGACAAGCTTTTGGAAAGCGGTCGCCTGGATCAGGGAGATGTGGAAAGGGTGGAGCGATACAAGCAGGCCCTGGGTACCAGATACACAGCAATTGGTGACAGGCTGCTAGGAATTAAAAACAAGTAAGATATGGGCTCAGGCAAAGATAAACAGCAAAGTACTATTGAGTATCATTTGTTGCAAATCAGCCACAAACCGGTGCAGGAATTTCTTTGGTTTCTTGGGGCAGGAATCGCGTTTCTTCTCGATCAGTACCCATTCACCGACGTGGGACCTGCAACAAATGAGTTTTTTTTTCTTCCACTATGGCAATAAACAGTAATGAAATCTAGACCAGGCAAGTGACATACCGAGCTAATCATTGGAACGTCAGCCTCCAATAGAAAGAATGGGTCAACAGTGTTACGTTGTTGTTTGACTAGCTCCAATGAGACACTTTTCGTTTTGTTTAGATAAACAACATGTAAGGTTCTTTATGCGCGTGGATCAATTAACGTTTTTCAATATGGCTTCTTTCCATAGGTTATCCAGCAGCTTGCATCAGCTACAAAGGAAACCTGACGAAAAATCCAAGAAAGAAAAAAGCATCGTGGAAGTCTCAGTTCAATCAACCTATAAGGTATGGCCAAAAGTTTAGGGACTCTTAAAAAAATGTAACCTTAATAAATTATACCTCTTGGTTGAGTCTCTGCATTCTACAAGACCTCTCTAAACGTCCGGTCTAAACGACCCTACTTTTTTTATACAATAACAATAATAATAATAATAATAATGATAATAATAATAATTTAATAATAATTTATTAATTTATATTGCGCTTTTTAACATGCAATGATCAAAAGCGCATCACAATATTAAAGTATTTATATTATTTATTTTAAAAATGAATATTTAAATATGCTAAATATGTACATAAACTAAATTTAACAATAATAAAACAATTAATTTAATTTGCATCAGTAATAACTATTACGATGAGATTTGCTTTAATCTTATTTTAATATCCAGCCACCACCCAAGGTGATTACACCATTTCACAAGGAGGATGAAACTGAAAGCAACGAACAGAAAATAAACGACTCAATGGGAGGAGTTAAGAAGATTATTGCACAATCAGGAAAACGGGGAGCTAGGAGTGAACAAGAAAAAGAAAGGTTAATGCACAGTCTAGTGAGGCTAAGAGCATAAATCGTACTATAATAGAGAAAAACTTCATTTGTTTACAGTAAGAGTAAAGGAGAAAAAATTTTGGAGCCTGGAAGGTTATTTAGCTAAATTCATTTTATCCAAATTTTACCCAGGGTATCGTCTTGGCATGTTCACAAAATACTCCTTCAAAAGCAGTTATTTTTCCCCTGATAGACTCCTAATCCACTGGTTGGTTGATTGATTAACTGATTTGAATATTGTTTTATAATTTCAACAGATAAAATCATTTCTAAAAGCACCATCTCTAACACATGTTAAGGGCATCTGTAA